CCGCTGTCTGTAATAAGCTTAATCTAAAAAAACAAAGACAAAAATATTCAAATTATGTTGATCATGAAGTTTTCTGAAAAATATCCAGAACAAGTTTTATTTTTTTAAAGTGTGATAATATTTTAACAGGATAGAAACTTTTTTGGCTGCACAATAAAAAAAAATATTATGTGAGTGACGTCATTTCCGTGTGAAGTATGTTAGTCCCATTTACACCCATTAAAACACAAAATCAGAGTTGGCGACATGGAAAAACGGTCTTAGCGTTATGAATAACATAAGAATTCATGTATTGCCAACTTTTACTAAAAAATGCCTCATTCACTTTAAGCAGTACCTGAACAGCAAACCAATCCTCTTCAAGCAGTACCTGAACAGTAAACCATTCCTCTTCAAGCAGAAGCTGAACAGTAAACCATTCGTCTGCAAGCAGTACCTGAACAGCGAGCCATTCCTCTTCAAGAAGTATCTGAACAGCAAACCGATCCTCTTCAAGCAGTACCTGAACAGTAAACCATTCCTCTTCAAGCAGAACCTGAACAGTAAACCATTCGTCTGCAAGCAGTACCTGAACAGCGACCAGACTGTAAAGTAGTAGCTTTGCAGGGAATTAATTTCCCGTGCAAAAATTTTTCCAATTGTGGAAATCCGCACAAAATGGCTTTGTTTTGAAAATCCGCACAAAATGGCTTTGTTTTGAAAATCTGCACAAAAATTCCTGTCAATCCATGCAAAATGGCTTTGTTTTGAAAATCTGCGCAAAAATCCCTGAGAATTCGCTCAAAATCTCTCGCAGTGGAAACCCGCGCAAATATTTAATATTCTTATTTCCTGAATTCATATCTGGTTCACCAGTGAAAAGTTCAGGTAGGTAATGAAAAACGTCATATATCACCTGCACGTAAGCAAAACATGATTCTATCATGCGTTGTACACGTCACGTGGTTTCACATCGAGCATTGCATAACAATGGCCTTTGGAAGGAACAAGGCATAAAAGAGTCAAAAGATTTTTCAAGCTTCAAGAATAAGGTAAACTATAACTTGAACCTAGCTACTCAGCCAACTCTACTCAAAAGATAAACATCGTGTATTTTTGATGTTACAAAAAGCAAAAAAAAGCATATATTATTAGTAATTTGTGTTTATTCTGCCTCTTTTTAGGAAATGTCACATGTGTCACTAATGGACACTAAAAATCGGCTAAGGCTTATGCGTTAATGGACACTAAAAATCGGCTTATGCGTTAAGGGAAAAAACTATGGAAACTGTACCAAACAGAAAAAAGGTAAAACTCTTGAGAAATTTGATGGCCTGACCTGTAACTGTAAGATCAAAATTAAAGAACTTAGTTACTCTTTTCGCAGTTCGGCAGTTGTTAATTTTGACTTTATGAATTATGGCGTTTTGTACATGTAAACAGTAAAAGCAAATTCAAATAATGCACAAACAAAACAACTGAACTGCCTGGAATCTAGCAATTAGCTATATTCACAGGCCAACTAGGATTATGAAAAAGAATACATGTACTGATGAAGTTTTTCAATTCTATATTTTATTATTTATTTATTCCAGTATCACTGTGTGTTGTGTGTAAGCAACAATATGATGGTGGACATAGCTGTACTTCTTGTAAAAACCCATGTCACACATTCTGTGGTGAACCAGTTGGCAAGGAAGGATTTGGAAAACCTGTATTATGCTTTAATTGCAAAGATATGAGTATGTTAAACAGTACACTTGAAAATTAGTATATAATACTATTTTACTATTTTATTTAATATATGTTTAATTTATTACTAACAAGTAACATGCAAATAACATAGTTAAGTTTAGGTCCTGCCGTTTATAGTTAATGTTTCAATAATATTTGCATTGTGGTTACAGTAGTATAAGTGTAATGGTTACGTTCTGCCACCCCGAGGGCCGAGGCCAGTGAAATTACCGTATACCAGTAGCCAAATAGGCAGTAATCAGGTGTTATAACTGTATATGTATAACTTTAGGCCAGCCAAAAATGCCTCTGCAGAGGAGAGTGGGTTTGCGCTGTTGCGTATTCCCTGAATTGAGGCTATTAAAATAAACTACAGTAAAATAAATATAACATTTTTATAGACCCAAATCTTGTTGATCTTGAGGCCAATAAGGGAAATGTTACCTTCACGAATGTGAAGACAACTAAAGCAAGGAATAAACAAAGTGAAACGTCAGTCAGTATTTTCTCGGTCATGATGAAGAATAGAGATAAAACAGTTTCATCTAAAAATCCAGTAAAACGAAAAAAGTCTGGTCACCAAAAAACTACAGGTGCAGTTTGTTTGGCCTGCTATAACTTATACAAAACACAACCACAATGGAAGAAAAAGTTTTGTTTTACCCGTTACAACGAATCATCCATGAAAGAGCACATGAAAACGCACAGAGACGTAAGTATTGACAACTACTCGAATTATTTTGTTGCTGAAGACAACCCTAAAGCTGGTGAAGCCGTGAAAGCAAACAAATCAAAAGATCAATCATTGTTGAAATCATCAGTTCAAGTGCAAGTACGTATACGGCTACGCATTCAATGAAAAATTGTTTCAAAATCAACCGTACATGAGACTGATGAGAGTAGAAAACCAGATGACCAAGCTGACCTCAGACCTACCACAAACTGCCCAGATGAAGTCCCTGCTACTTCACATGTTTCTATGGATACAAGAGATAAACAAGCTGCAATTGAAAGTCAAAGGTGCGAGATTTAATAGTGAGCAATTAAACTTCTATTTATTTAGACTTAGAAGGCGACATTTTTAGTATAATTTGTATGTGGAAGCAGCCATATATACTCACATATGCGTAACGCATATGTATACCTGCATCTAAATAAAACGCAGCGTCAGCGAAGTGCCAAAGTCTAGATAGTTACACTATAGTAAAATATAAGTTGGTGTACTACCAAACAAAATTATAGTTTTATCAGCAGCCTGCAAAAGGAGTGAAAATTATTCAAACAGTTTCCACTTGCAATCTGAAAAATATTATTTGTTCCAAAAATAGCGCTCCTGGTGAGTTAACACATGCAGAGAGTGCTCCATCTGAAACCACAGCTGAAAAACGAAAAGTAACAAGGTAAGCTGATGAAGTTTTTTACTGACAAAAGTGATGAACAATTCTATACTTTCCTGTTGCCCGCAGGCGACCTATTATCATTTGAATTTCGCTGAAACAAACCTACAGTATTTACAGTCAAACAAATGGTTTTACAATTTTAGTATTTCAGTTGAAGACCATGAAAACAATGTTGATTGGCCGAGTACAAAGCTACCAAAGATGAGTTCGTCATTAAACAGTGCTCAGGCGTCCATCACTAACTTTCTTCTTTCTGATCCGAGTGCCATACAAGAATCGGGTGTAAACCTTTTAAGTAAAAAAAATTTAGATTATATAGTGGACAGAATCTCTGGACGCATAATAGGAAGTTCCAAGCACTCAAGTCAGTCCAGTGGTTCCACATGCACCAACTTGCCTTCATGCACCAACTTGACCTCGTTTTTGGAATCAGAATCTCATGATTACGAACTAATTTCAGGGGGCGAAGTCCATGACATAAGATGTAACACTTGCTTCACTTATATTAATGATCCAGTCGCATTGTCGGAATTACCGAGAAAACCTTCTTTTGCTCTTGGTACATCACTAATATCCGGTCTTGTAATTAGCAACAACGACTACAAATTATATTGCAATGGTGGATGCCAAAAGTGGTATAACTTCAAAAGCAGATTGCTGAATTATATCATCGATGCTTCACAGACATTGTGGTGGTTTTTCGCAACAGTGCCATTGTTCGATACCATATTCGTGTGTAGAAGTATCTACTGATGCCCGTAGGTTCTGTAGCAATGCGGTGCTTTTTGGAACCCCATTGTCCCTTGAAGGGGAAGAAACTTCTTAAACTATTGAGGAAAATGAGTTGGACTCTTTATGGGTATAATTTGATGTGCTATGATCGGTTGTATATGAACGTGGACAAATGGGTGTACGCAACACAATATGCAATAGACGAACCGAACCGTATAATAAATATTCATACAACTTTAAAGGGGTTAAATAAAGATGTTTACGCCCATAGTTTAGCTTGTATTACTATAAAGTATGGATATGCTATATGTGATGAGGGTATATATAAACGTTCTACTGGCTAACATAGATTTTGAACATTGTGAACATGACGTTACATGTTTTTTAGGGTATCGTGATTTATTTCGAAGAATAGTGACCTTTTTGGTTGAAGATGTGAATGTGGGTAAAGATATTGATGAGTGCTTTGTCGGCAATATTGTAGACATTTGTGAACATGTACATAACTTATTAGTTTCGCAACATTTAATTTATAAAATAGCTTTTTATATTCAACAAATGAAGCGTGTAAACGATAATATGGTCACGCGATGTTTTTGTTATAATACTAGCATTTGTACTTGTATTAGTAGAGAAACGTTAGAGGTGTGGAATTAATTTTTTTTTAGTGTATTGTGTGTATTGTGTGGTTTGTGTTGAGATGGACGCGTTTTTTCAACTTCAGCATTGTGAAATAAACAAGAAAGTGTTAAAAAAGTGTCGAGATGTGCGTAATATTTTAAATTTGCGTATAACACACATTATAGACTGCGAAGCATATACGTGGTGTAAAAAATTTTTTTTACGCGAAGTATCTGTATTGTGTAGAGAGACAAATATTGTTACAACGTATCAGATTTACATTCCAAATACTAAATTGTTTGATGAAAATGATCGTGGGGTGCGTTACCAAATAAGGGTAATACATGGTCTACCCATTGAAAGACGACGTATTGACGATAATTGTTATTTATATAGCAAAATAATTGACATGCTGCGTAAAATCTTTGAAAGGTTCTGTAGCGATGCGGTGCTTTTTGGAACCCCATTGTCCGAAGGGGAAGAAACTTCTTAAACTATTGAGGAAAATGAGTTGGACTCTTTACGGGTATAATTTGATGTGCTATGATCGGTTGTATATGAACGTGGACAAATGGGTGTACGCAACACAATATGCAATAGACGAACCAAACCGTATAATAAATATTCATACAACTTTAAAGGGGTTAAATAAAGATGTTTACGCCCATAGTTTAGCTTGTATTACTATAAAGTATGGATATGCTATATGTGATGAGGGTATATATAAACGTTCTACTGGCTATAACATAGATTTTGAACATTGTGAACATGACGTTACATGTTTTTTAGGGTATCGTGATTTATTTCGAAGAATAGTGACCTTTTTGGTTGAAGATGTGAATGTGGGTAAAGATATTGATGAGTGTTTTGTCGGCAATATTGTAGACATTTGTGAACGTGTACATAACTTATTAGTTTCGCAACATTTAATTTATAAAATAGCTTTTTATATTCAACGAATGAAGCATGTAAACGATAATATGGTCACGCGATGTTTTTGTTGTAATACTAGCATTTGTACTTGTATTAGTAGAGAAACGTTAGAGGTGTGGAATTAAATTTTTTTAGTGTATTGTGTGGTTTGTGTTGAGATGGACGCGTTTTTTCAACTTCAGCATTGTGAAATAAACGAGAAAGTGTTAAAAAAGTGTCGAGATGTGCGTAATATTTTAAATTTGCGTATAACACACATTATAGACTGCGAAGCATATACGTGGTGTAAAAAAAATGTTTTACGCGAAGTATCTGTATTGTGTAGACAGACAAATATTGTTACAACGTATCAGATTTACATTCCAAATACTAAATTGTTTGATGAAAATGATCGTGGGGTGCGTTACCAAATAAGGGTAATACATGGTCTACCCATTGAAAGACGACGTATTGACGATAATTTTTATTTATATAGCGAAATAATTGACATGCTGCGTAAAATCTTTGAAAGTGCCGATTTGGTGGGTTACAAGGGCGGCAATATTGAACGTAATTTGTTAAATATGCTTGGTATTTCGTGTATTAATATGGAAATTTTGGGTTGCCCAAAGTATGAATATTTATTGTCAAAATATGACGTTGAACGGGAATGTTGCGCATATCATATTACGGGTAAATATCATTGTAGTGGACACGAAGTGAAGTTATTCTCGCAGTTTTTAGATGCAGTATGAATTGCCATGATGTACCTTTAAATTTAAGTGCTTTGGGGCTATTAATTGAAAATTATTATTTTGATCCTGTGTTATAGAGTTTGTATTCAACATGTTGGTATTTGTATAAAAAAACCCCGCAAGATTTGGGAACGAGAGAAATTCGTATTCAAAATTACAGGACCGCGTATACTTACAAATTAAATGTTGAAAATGGGAAGAAAAGTGTCGAGAAAGACCAATCTTTGTTGTGGTTAAAGGGCGATCTTTCGGGAATGCGCGATGTGCTATTATACGATAAAAATACGCCAAGTTATTGCTTGATCGGGGTGGATTGTGAACAGGAAGATGTTGATGATGATATAAGTGACGATTTTGACGAAATTGAAACTCATAAAGTATTTTATATAATTTCGGCGGTGTGGTCACACTATATCTATATACGTTTTGAAAACAACACTTGGTATATGTATTTGGCCGAGAAGAAATTCTGTTGTAGACAGATTTTGACCCGTGGAGATGTAGTGGTTGCTCGACGTGAAAATATTAGTATTCAACCCCAGTATGCAGTTTCTGAAGATTATTTTCATGTTGGTGTTGGGGAATGCTCAACTGCTGTTCATGATGTGCTTGCAGATGTGGGTATATTTGTGAATAGTATGCAATTGTACAATAGTGTAAATTTGTATGCACACCCGTACGATAAAGAGCGTGATGTAATTTATGCGTTGTCAGTGCACGAACACATATTTAAGTTTAATGATGATGAATTAGTTTCGGGTAAATTTTTAAAATTAATAATGAAGCATTTATTAGTGTGCCAATGTTGTAATTTGTATGTAAATAAATTGGTTGAAATGATTTGTACAAGTTTAGTTAAACATGATACTTTAACAGACGTTATGAACGACCCCGATAAAGCAGATAAGATTTTACAGGGTAATGTACCCTGTTATACATATATTTTGGACGGTGATTTTGTTACTATGCGTCGAGATGCTTATAATGCACCGTTGAAAACATTGCCAAAAAATTGGTCGTGTAAAGAAAAGAAAAATGTAAATATTTGTAAGGATATTATTGAACTGTTTTTTCAGAAACACGGGTAGTATTATCTATATAAGGTATGGGTATGTAGTGATATTATATTACGTAGCAAATAAAGTCTAGAAAGGCATTAAAACATTTTATATTTTTTTAAAAGATGTCGCGTACTTATTATTTCACCGCTTTTTAAAAGTGTAAACTGGAATCGTGTAGAAACAGTATTACAAGAAATGGGGATGACCTATTTTAAATATTTACCATACGGGATAGAATTGTGTATAAAAATTGTGGGTGTTGTTCAATTTGCCGACCGTGTAAATATGAGAAGATTGCGAACGGCAATGTCCGATGTTGAAGTTCATACAACGCATCTAGAACAGGTAAAAGTTCCTATGGCTAAAAGTTCCTTTTACCACATTTACGAATATGGTTGCTTTGTCGTCATCATGATCTTCCCGAGTCGGAAATTAAAGAGTGTGGTGTTTTTGCGCTGGGTGGTAAAAATCGTGCTTTAAAAGATGAAGTGGCGCCCTACATGACCGTATTAAAGAATTTTATAGAAACTAAAGATTATACATTGTGTGAACATTTAAAGGGTGCGCGTAAAATATGTGAATATGCCGACGCGCTAACTAGGTTACCCTATGACAAGGTATAATATGTGTTGATAAATATTTTTTAAATCATTATTGGGTATACACTCATGATGTGCATATCATTCTTTTTATTATGGACTAAATTTAAGACCGTGTGTGTTTTATAACACTATTATTTTTTCACCAAAAAATTCATGTAATAATGTTAAAGTTATTATTATTTATTTACAAGCGCCCGAAATTTAAGTATGTCCATATATGGATAATAACGATGGATATTTTAAAATAACGGGTGTGGCGGATTTCCTTATAGGGCGCAAATAAAAATAGTGTATATAAATGTGTTTATTTGGAAGATTGTTTTTGTATAAATGCATCGGTTTATAAAACGTCATTTGAAAACATCGTAACCAGATGAACTTAAGACAACGAAGGAATACGAAAAAAGGTAATGTATTAGTTTTTTATTTAAATATATATTTTTCTACAATTTTATTGATAATATTGATAGACTGTTGGCAGTTTATTATGAGGTTTTCTACTTGTTTGTCGTATTTGTCCACCGCGTTGTGTTCCAAACCATGCGCGATCGGTATCTTGTATACACTTGACAGCTTTCTTTTTTACCGCTTTCTTCTTGTCGGCCAAAAATCGTTTTCCATATGTTTGTAGAAAAGCTTTTGGATTTAACAACATTTGTCGTAATTGTAATTGTTTTTTGCATACGGCATCCGTTCTTCTTTTAAGATTTGGTGTTGCACTAAGATCGGGTAGCTTTGTGCGCAGCATGTCTATGTTGAAACTGATAAAACTATTACGAGTATTACAAGTATTTATTGCCAGTATTCGGGACCGTATGATGTTAAGATTTCTCGATTTTGTTAATATTTTAAAAATAAAACACGACATGAGTCTTGAATCCAACTGTTCGTACATCAATTACATATCAAAAATCGAATATAAAATATAAAAAAACAACTTTTTGCAGATTTTCGGCCTGGCGGCACTTCTATATTTTAAAAATATTGTACATGCGGGCTTCAAAATGTGGTCGGGCGGTGATGACAATCAAGGATTTTTTTATGTGGCCTTACTGTTATACATAACTACACAGTGCAAGTCAAATTTGTACTTGTATATGAACGGAATCTTCGGTTGACCCTTGGTGTTTCGCTCACCAAATCACCAATATAGATCATTTGATCTACTATGAACCCAGTGTTCTCTATAAATCTTGGTAATCCCTAGCAATCAAGTATAACCCCCTAATCACTCAGTATAAACCACTAGTAATCTAGTAATTCGTAGTAATGTGGTAACCACTAGTAATCTAGTAATTCGTAGTAATGTAGTAACCACTAGTAATCCTTAGTAATCTAGTAACCTCTAGTAATCCATATAGTAATCTAGTAATCCTTAGTAATAACCTCTTGTAATTTAGTAACCTCTAGTAATCCTTAATAATCTAGTATTTCTTAGTAAATCGTAGTTAACTCTGAAATATGGGATTCTGATTGGTTAAATATCCTACTAACTATAGTTAACTTTAACTACTTTTATCTTCAATGCATGAAATTTAGCTCTAAATAGTAATCTTTCACATTTTTTGTCTCCTAAATCTCACCATTGCCCCCAGCGAACGGTAAAATATTACTAGATTGATAT